CGATAATCTATTCCATCAAGTGTTAATGTCCATGTTCGACTTATTTTTGAACGATTTTCACTAAATTTTTCTAATGGTTTGCCATCTACATCAAGTGTATATTCATAAGCAAAACCGCTTACAGCATCAATATTAATTGTACATTGATGTTTACCAATTTTAAATGTTTCTTTACCAACAAGTTTAAAAAGCCAATCACGACGAAGAATTTCTTTACTATCAACACGAATCACACGTTTACCAGAGGTTGTACCACTGAAGAAAAATGGAAGAATTTAAAATAAAAAAAAATGAATTTACATTTTTTTTCTTTAATTTACTGTTCAAATTCAACTTTATGAACACCATCGGAAAGAGCCACTTGCCAGGTTCCAACTACATCACTCATTTTAATAGAATAGAAATGAATATATTATAAATTCACAAAAAAATATTCTCCACTCGACAGGCATCGCTTATCTCGTTACTTAGGCTACCAAACTTAAGAAGGAAATGTAAGATGTCGCCATTGAACATAAAGTGAAGAAATATGTTAATGAAAATTTTTCTAAGGTATCATATTGCAATTACTACATTCTTTTATAACTCTATTTTATTAAAATCATATACTTTTTGTTCAATATTTTTTAAAAAGAATTGTATTGCTATTTTTAATGATAGATATTTGTAGAAAGAAAGATAAGCACTTTGCATCATCTCATATTTTTCTTTATTGGTTTTATATTTCAAATGGATGACGATCGTTGTCTAAGATTTGAAATAATGTGTGAAGGGAGGTGTGGTTGTTCATGATGAATGAGAAGAATAGCCACTTCCATCCAAAAAAGAACACACTTATGTATTTAAGACTTCAATAGTTAGTGAGTATTGATCCTCAAAAGAATTTTCTTACATATAAAATCGAGATCATAATAAAAACACTTTTAAAACCGATTGTTTTTAGAAAAAGTAACTATTCTCATCCTGTTGCTACTGCGGAGGCTGTATTTACATGACTGATTTTAATTGCGATAATACTACGTTGCACATGATCACAATCAGACTCATCAATTGAGCGAGCAACTAGAGGTGGGTGTGATCGAAAAAGATAAAATTGCCCACACCCTCAAGATTTCGAGATAACTTGTCAAATAAATAAATCTTTTATTTGTTAAAAAATATGATAAATAGAATTCATGCGAGATCAACTATTCACACGAATCAATATCATGTTAACAACATTATCATTTGCAAATGTTAATTGCATATCGTATTATTTTGTATAATATTAAATAAGAATTCCATTGAAGACTAAAATTGAATTATATCTAGGAATATTATCATTCAATATATTTTTAAATCTTTAGAAATAAGTTTGCACTAAAACATATTTTTTATGACAATTATTTTGATTGATTATAATGAAGATTTTTAAAAGTTGAAGATCTCATATATCAATGCATATATATATGTCAGCAAATGATTACTAAATAATATTTATTACATAGCTTGTTCGATCTAATAATAATAAGTAGAATTTAGTCTTTTTTTTCTATATTTGAATTAGTTGTTCTTTAATGGTAAATTTTTTTATTGATACAGTTACATTCAATATTTTCTCTTTTTTTTCATATACAGTTTCATGTAATTTTATATGATAATATAAAGATATATCAAAGGATTAATTTCTCTATCATATTTATAATCTTACAATATCTTATACATAACTTGTTGAAGCTAATATTAATATTAAGAGAATAGAATGAAGTTTTTTTCTATCTAAATCTGAATTTATTTAATTAAGTTAAATTTATCTAAGTTAATTCTTACTTTCTTTTTTATCTGTGTATACAAGAAGAAAGGCATGGTTGCACATTGTAGAAATAAATGCGATCACGTTCATATTACCAGACGATTTCAGTTTTGCAATGCGAATTTTTTAATCATTGTTTGTCTTTTCATTGTAACACGTAATAATGATAATAACAAAATTGAATATTCCCATATAGAGCATGAATCAGCTTATTTACAAAAATATATAGAATCAATATCGATTGAAGAAAGCCGACATGAATATATCTGGTAAAAACTTCGCTATCACGTTCAACTGATCAAAAATCATATTTCTCAAATCAATTTACCAGTAAAACTTTGGTTTCAATGGATATTGCTTTGTTAAAACACAATAATGATATAATGAAGCATTTTGGCTTGCATATTTTTCCCTGTTCCTAATTTTATTAATACAGTCAAAGTAAAAAATAATATTTTGGTTGTGTTTCTAAAAATCGTCTAAGACTTTCAACACATAATTCAATGTATATATAGATAATGAACATTTCAGGGATGTACCACAAGTAAAAAGTTGAAATGTTGAAGTTTTTTTCATTTTCATGACCATTTTTTGCAAAAAAACATAGAAATTTTGTTAAAAAAACCTAAAAATTTTCTGAAACGGTGAGGGGGTTCACTCCCGCACAGTGGGCCACTTTCGTATGCCAGGTGCACATGTAGTTTTCTTTCCTTAAAAATCGATTTCTATAGCTTAGAAATGATCATATATCACTCCGCCTAAGATTTTCCAAAAAAACAATCTCGTCAAAAAGTGCGTATTATTGCATATTATTCGATGCAGTTTTACGTGCTGATTCGAAATATCACCTTGGTTTTGCGTCAAAATGTTCTCATCTTCTTAAAACTGGTGATTCCGGGGCAAAAACCTGGGTTTTTGGGAGGTCACTAGCTCGGCCTATGTTCACTAATGAAACTTCGCGCTATAACCAACGATAAACCACACATAGGAGAATGTTTGATAAAAATTTGAGCTCAATCGGATGAAAACTCTTTGTAGCGTTGACAAAATACCGTATGATCTATTTTTTGACTTAGTATGGGTCCAATAATCACTTTTTTTCTAACTCATTTTTGGTTCAATCGAAATAATTTTTTAATACAATCTAGCTTATCGGTCAATCATTCGTTTCAGATAGTTTTTCTTTTTATAATCTTTTGATAAGTTGAGAAAAGGAGCGATTTCCGTATAACTACCGATTTATAGGCAATTTTTGAGGATAAGCTTTTTTCGGGGTATGACTTGATTTCTTGAAATCTAGTTTTGAGGTAAAATAGACTAACCATAGACCTATTTATTCCATTATTTGAACTTTAGAAAATAGAACTTTCGGTCATATCCGCCTGGTTGCCCACTGTGCCCCGTCCTCGCCGACTTCGACTGCGGCACATTCGAGGAACATTTTATAAAGAAGCAAAAACCAAAAAAAGTAGTATGAAAAAGTTGTCTAGTTTATGTAGTAAAGTAAATTTCTTTTATTTATGGCACGGGTAGTGAAAAAAATGAGTATAGGGTTTTTGTAGAGAATCTTTTGCTCTATCGATTGGTATAAAATTGTAATACTTTCGATCAACTTTTTGTAATCGAAAATTTCAAAAAAACGTTTTTGTCGGCAACCAGTTTGGGTGGTGGTTTCAAAAAGTCTCTTTTAAGAGATGTTTGTGCGTGAATCCAAATATATCTGCATCTCAGAATGTTTTTGCATCCATCTGAACAACTATATTTGATTGAAAGATTTGTATCTACAGAGATTTGAATTAGTTTTAGTATTACATGCTTCAAACTGATCAATATCAAAGAGCAAATCTCGACAAGAACGAGTAGTCTCAACATAATCTTCATACTACATCTAAGATAATACAAAATAAAATTCTCCTCTATACTTCAACGTTTAAGAGAATCAAACTATTAAAACAATTCAATCATTCTATGAGTAACGATTGCCTTTCAATATGCTCGTATATGATCTTGTTTTTCGAAGTAAATTTATCATCGTGGCACCCTCACTCGTGACATCTTTTAATTATATTAATAATATTTAAAATAAAATTTGTCTATTTTTGATCATATTCATATTAGTGACAGTGCGATGAATTATGACAATTTCATTGCCAGATTTTAATTGAATACCCACAGGTAATATTTCTAAAGATTGATTGGATGTAATGATTTTAATAGGTATTGTTCATTGTTTCACAGAATGATTTTATTCGATAACTTTTAAAACTTTCGTCTCTTTCTAAAAAAAACAAGTTGTTTGATATCATATAATTTTTTCTAGAATAAAACAAACAAATTCAATTATTTCTGATGTCTAAAAGTTGTTCCACAACAAAGAGTCATGATTCATTTAATCAAAATGTTAATGAAATTCATATTACAAATTTATTATCCGATGATCTTTCAATAAAAAATGATCCTAATTATATTAAATTGTATCACGACTTAAAATTATGGTTATCGACAATGAATACTTCCAATAATGAAAAAGATCTTCAATTCGATTTCTATCAAAACTGCTTGAAGAAATATGATGAAAATATCATTAATAAATTGAAATATACTGATGGATTTAAAGGAACAGTTTTTAAAGCTTTATTTGAACAATTGATGCCTAATTTTTGTCTTATTGATTATTATAATTCTCATTTGAAATCGAAAACAAGTGGTTTAGATTTAGAATTTTTACCATTTCATATTGTTACAATTTTTGAATTAAAAATTAAATTAAAAGATTGTAATATTAGACAATTATTACATTATCTTCGAATTATACTGGATTACTCTCCATCATCACGTACATATATTATAGGTGCAATAACTGATTTTCATCACATACAATTTGCTAAAGTAGTCAGATCAACTGATGATGATCAAATAACGTATGTAGCTTCGATAAAAAAAATTATATACGATAATGAATATTTATTACATTATTTAACAATGTTTTTTACTACTGAATTATCAACATTTGGTTACTCTCGTGTAGAAACATTACCTAAAAATATTCGTATTGATCAGAAGTTATTAGGCATTGGTGCAAATTCAATAGTTTTTAATTGTTATTTGATTGAAAATCCATTAAATGAATGTACTTTGAAAACTAGTAATAAATATATTTTAAAAATTAGTAATGAATCTGTTGATAAAGAAGTATCAATCTATGAAAAACTATATGCTGATAAATATAAAATTATTCAAGTTCATCCATATGCTTTTGTATTTTGTTTTCCACCTGGTCAAATTATATCAAAAGAAAATTTATTCAATAATATTCATATTATATGGAATCAAATAAAAAGAGCACATGAAAATCACACTGTACATCGTGATATTCGAATGTCCAATATTATTCAAATACTTAACAGTCAAACAAAAAAGTAAAAGAAAAAAGATTTCATTATATGATTTTTCTAATTTAATTTGTTTTCTTTCTTAATAGTTATGAAATCTTATTAATTGATTGGCATAGTGCGATAGAAATTGGTTCAAATGTTAAATATAGTGGATCATTATCAACTGCTTCAAATTTTATTCTTGATAAATTATCACAAAACTCAAAAGAAACTATTCAATATCTTCCAGTTGATGATGTTATATCAATGATGAAAATGATTCTATTAGAAATTATTCCAATAGATTACAAAAATACTATTTCATCAAAAGTTCGACAACATTCATCTTCAGGAGTTTTAACTTGTTATGTGGATATTAATTATGATTTTCGCTCTAAACAATTACTTCTATTAGAAATAATTAATTTATTAGAAAAACATCGTGAAAATTTATCAAAAGAAAAATTAAATTATTTTATTGATAAATGTGTCGAAAATCATCGATGTTTAGTCAAATTAGAGAATGAACAAACAGATATGAATTATTTCAATGATTTAACAAAACAAATATTTTTATCTTAATTATTTGTTTGTTATTGTAAACATTCATATTTCAATTTAATTTTAATACTTTTTTTTGTTTGGAGATCGAATTGATTCATTTCAATTGATAATCATCAAATCAATTCTCAATCATTTGTAATAGGAAATTCATTTCATTGTATTTTTCTCTTTATCTATTAAAAATCTTCTTTTCTTTTTCATTGATATTTGAAAATAAACTTCATTATCATTCTTTTAACGAATTAAGTCAAAACATAAAATGTTTGTTTTGATATTGATCAAGATTTATTTTCGTTCCTCTACATTCAATTAGAATTTATTGATTCGAATCGATGATTGAGAAGTATTAGTGTTGTCCTATAAATATTTATTTACATAAATTATCTATGAATCATAGGAGAATCGAAAAGATTAATGTAATAATTCACTTTAGACCGTGAGACGTATTCATCACAAACAATAATGCACACTTTACGATATGAAGTGTACGGCAGTAAATCAGGCATAATGCATTTGATTTTAATTATGAAGATTATCAATATACTTTTAAGCGAGAGAACATATATTCGAATGAATTGAGATTTTAATCAAGTTGTACACATACGTGTTAATCCTATATGTCTCATATCATCTGATTATCTCTTTCACTTTGCTCTTTTCTCAAGTGGTGGTAATTAATAAAGTTTTATAATTATTTCATTCCAAATAGAGATAATGACAATTAATCAGATGGAAAGAGATCAAAGTCAGAAGTGACCGTTGATCAATGCTGAATTTGACAAAAATTTGAATAGTTCATAGACTATTAATAAAGAAAAATCTCTTGTTGATTGAGCAAAAAAATTCGAGAAAATTACATCAAATAGATAAACAATGAAAAATTACGCATAATAACATGTTAAATTCCACTATTTACCCAGTAGTTACGGAGTAAGTTTTAACGCACAATGATTTTTTTAATGGTTTTGCCTACCTGGATATAGACAATACAGAGGGTGTGGGTGTGGGGTGTGGGTGTGGGTGTGGGTGTGGGTGTGGGTGTGGGTGTGGGGTGTGGGTGTGGGTGTGGGTGTGGGGTGTGGGTGTGGGTGGGTGTGGATAGAATAGAATATCGACACTCATACCCATACCCACACCCACATCCTCATCTTAGAATACAGATTTTCTTATTGCAAGTTGAAAAGACTAAACATATTTAAATCAAATAAACATTTTCATTACTAAATTAAGAAAAATGAAAATAAAGTTAAACAATAGTAAGATGATTGTATGATATACTCATTATTGTGCTCATTCACATTCTCGAGATCAAGTTAGTTTACTATGTAATACAGACAAAACTGAAAATTCATGTATGAATATTATTTTTGTTTGATTCTTCTTCAAAAGATTTTGATTGTTCATTACTTGAAAAAATTCAAATCAATATTTTTTACATTTGATCTGTGATGAAACACATACATAGAACTATCGATTTTGATGTATCTTATTCACATGTAGAATATATAAATAATGTGATTTCAATCTCTAATAGACATTGTCTGATTAGAAATAAATTTAGTCATACGAATTTGAATACGGAAGAGCATAGAAAATATATGTATAAAAAATAGTTAATTACTAAAATTAAGTAGTATTCATTTATAGTAAAGAGCTAATGTTTGATTTTTGATACGAGTAGAAAATGATAATGAACAAGCTGTGTTACATGATTGAGAATTTTATTGGAAATTTTTATTCAATCAGAGATATCCTGTCAAATCATTTCTATAATCATTTATGATTAAATATATCACTGAAATAAATAAATCTTTTATTTGTTACAAAATATTATAAATAGAATTCATGTGAGATCAACTATTCACACGAATCAATATCATGTTGACAACATTATCATTTGCAAATATTAATCATACTTTGTATTATTTTGTATAATATTAAATATGAACTCCATTGAAGACTAAAATTAAATTATATTCATTAATATTATTATTATCATTCAATATATTTTCAAATGTTTCGAAGAACGAGAAAGATAACGAATCTACATGAACATATTAGAACATGTTTTTCCATGCATAACAACAGAACAAAAGAAGATATAGATGAAATACATATATGATGACGTCACAACAATGGACGAAAGAAAGAGACTGTAAACAAATGATGACACCACTTAACACAAGTTTCAAATTTTTCATACATTCGAACAATTCTAAGCATTACAAAATGTTCTTAAATTATTTAATCTGTTGACAACATCGTTAAATTTATTTTCATAAACTTCTTGCAAATTGTTTCTATAGCTTTTATATTCACAACTGGCATCTCTCGTGAAATATACATCCCATGGGATCCATTTATCACTAATAGTAGAACAAATAAATTTACCGTTCGGCGAGAGTTTTGAATGCAAATCTTCCAACATTTCCAAATTATTAATCCCATCCCCACGAATGGTATACATATCGGGATGAATGCGCGCCGTTATATAAACTTCTTTAAGTCTTTCCATAATTACCGCTCGTTTATATTTTTCAAGCGTTTCAATAATTCTATTGAGTTCAGAATTTAGATGTCTTCCATTGGACGGCAGTAACTCTGACGCCCTTTTAATAACATCGGCATAAATGGCCACAAATCCTATCAGTAGTTCTGACGATAAAATCACTACTTTCCAAAAACAAAAATTTTCGTCACCAAATAATGTCAATATTTTTTCGCATGAATGTAAAGCAGGCTCAACAGCGGTCTCTCTCTCCCTGATGGAGATATTTTCTTGTTCCATTCTAATAATACGATTCTCAATCGATTTTATTTCTGCATTTATCTGTGATGTCGCAAATTCAGCCAATGCTTTATCAATTTTTGCATCAATAAGTGTTGATATGATTTCACTTTGATTACTATGTAATGTATAAATCCATTTCAATCCCTCTTTATATGTAATTATTCCCGCTTTTACTGGAATTCCAACGCCAGGTATTATATTTCCGTATGATGTTAGTGTTGAAAGTACTTCAGTCACGTGTTTAATCAATTTGCCAAATTTAACATCGTCAGTAGTTCCGCGTCTAAATGTGACAGTAGGTTCGGGTAAGACAGGTTCTGACATGTGTGTACCCATAATTCATAAAATATGATAAAAATTGGAAAATTAATGTAGAAATTCCAGAATACTATAATTAATTGAATTAAAAATCAAAAACAACAAAATAAGTGACTTTAAAAGTAAGTTAAACTTAACTTACGTTTAATGAAGTTATTATTTATGAGGTGCAAGTCCCATTCTCTCTGTGTAAGTGGAGTGCGCTGCGTTTATATAGTACACAAGCAGTGGGAAAAAACGTACTGCGGGAAGAACAGAAAGGATGAAGCAAGAGTTGTGCAAGGATGGTACAAGAACAGAATGAGTCATGAAGGAACAAAAAGAAAGGAGTTCAGTAAATACCTAAAAATGAGTCAAAAATTTAGTAAAATGGTTGTAGTCATCGCTTTAAGGAAACTAACGAGTTTAGGGAAAACATGAAAACCATTAAAGAGGCACAAGAAAAGAAATATGATTGGTCGTTGAGATCGTAAATAGAAATGGTTTTATTGATTGATGATTCATATAAAATCAGTCAAGGGATTGATCATATCATTATATAATAAAATAAAATAAAAGATTTTAGAATTACTTTGTCTATAAGTGGTTTACTTCTATAATTGAAAAGAATCGTTTACCGAAGTCAGGGTAAAAATAGAGAATATACTTTTTAGAATATTATTTATTGAAATAATATGATGTAATATAAAAATGTAACATCTCAGAAAATATAAATCATATTATAAAACTAACGAAATGATAAAAAATAAAGATTGAAACCATAAAATTAGAAAGTATACACAAAACTGTTCGAATCAGTTTGATTTAATATAAAATGCTGTTGATACTACATAAACACCTTCTGTAGTTTTAAATAAATCATCAACAATTGTTTCTTGTTGATATTCATTGCATAATATCATTCCAATGAAATGATCCGGTTTATGACTTGTTGTACCAAATAATAAATATCTAAATCATGAACGATATAATATTTATACTTCTTTTTGAACTTTCTTCTTTAATATTCACTTTTGACCGTTTATGACAATATCACGTGGAATATTAACAGTTGTAATTGTCGTCTCCATGTTTGTAATTAGTAAGATTGGTGGATAAGAAGCATTGATAAATGATGGTTCTGTAGATGAACGCCGACTAGTACAAACTAGATAAATACTGTAACAAAACGAGTTTGTTTTACTTCTACAGGAAGCTATTGTCTAAGCTTTACCCTGATTCCTCTTTGCTGCTTTCTTCATCCGTGATTTTTATCTTGTCCAAATATTGAAGTTCAGCACTTGCTGGTAATGGAATATTTGGAGCCCATTTAGTTATTGGTGCACCACATTGAGGGTGTGGGTTAGATATAGAAGCCAAACATACCACCCACACCCACACCCTCAAAAATATTTTGATAAGAAAACAACAAAGAAAAATCGTTTGGTTTGTTTTTCGTAAAACTTAAATTTGAATTTGATAGTTTTGATTCAAAAATTCGAATAAATAAATATCAAGTTCTTCGTTTTTTTTGATATTTGGAAAGAAAAAGAAAAGAAAACATTGTGTGATTTGAATTGAATTAAATAAAAATTATTCAAAATGAAGATTTTACCTTTGATAAAATTGTATTTCAGTATTTTTATTTAATGAAAATAGTCGAATATTTTCGTTTTTTCGATTTAATAAAATTTCTTTTGTTTGATTTTGAAATAATTTTTAATAAGAATCGAATTGAAGCTGATTTATCAAAATGAATGAAATAAAAAAAAATTTTGTTTGAAATTTTAAAAGAAATCAATGAACATTTTCATTTAGATGAAATGAGAAAAGCAGAAATACGGAAGAAAAACGAATAAGAGATTGAAATAAAGTGAAAAATAAAGGGCGAGTGTGAGTGTGAATAGTATTATATTATATTACCTCGAGTGATATTTTCGATTAATTGTTGAAACTATTCTTCATCACAATAATTTGAGAAGTCAAATCAACAGATTTTTGTAATATTTCAAAGATTGTTATTGATGTGAAGACAACTATTGACTTGAATATTTTCAATAAAACCTGATAGTTTTTTATTTGTTTTAATGATATTATCTTCGATTTTATTGTTGGTCCTTCGTTTTTTGAAGGCTGTTGGAAATGTATGAAATATTTTTAAGCTAATATTTATTAATGAACCTAAATTTAACTTTTGTAAAATTGCAAAATTATTTTAATAATAATAGCTTGCATTTTGGCTGAAAGAATTTGCACATAATTTTAACTTATCTTGTAATTTAGAATCAATTTCATCAATCATATTAACAACTGCAATATGTGAAACAGTTAAACAAAAGAGAATCATTATTGATGATTCTATAATTTACTTCTCGTATCACTACCTAATAAACCTTTAGCATCGATCAACATGATATTTGATTTATGACACATGATTTATAAATACTTCGAATACATCAACCATCATGAATATTAAATAATGTGCCAAACATATAATTTGATAAAAAACTAATGACAAGTATTCGATGATGTTGCAATGATGCCAATAAAGCTTCGACTAAAAGTGACTATTGAAAATGAAAATAATCTCCATGAACAAGTTCAAATGGATAATTAGCTTGAATATATTAATAATATTTATTTTGTAAAAATGTCTGATCTTTCTTTGATTGATATTGGCTACAAATAATTGTATTTCTTCATAAAACTTCTGTAGATAAATGTTTTTCAGTCGATAGTTTTTTGCCCGTATTGCCTACTGATATTAACTGACTACGTTGCTGTCTTAATTCAGTAATATGAATATCTAAATATGTTAAGTTATTTGATGTTATTGAAAATTTGAAGAATAAATGATATATGATACTGCAAGATCCACAATTCGTTCGAGGGTGTGGGTGTATACGTGGTCTCTAAAGTAAATAACACTCACACCCCCACCGTATAAAGCTTGTCTACTATGAATTAATATATTGCTCGCAATTATACTAGATTCTGTATTATTCTCTAAATCAAGAGTTTCTTGTATATTTACTTCATGATATAGATACGTAAGTATGATTACTATCTAAAATCGGAATCTGAAATGAAGTTCGATTGGATTCATCTCTATGCATGTTGATGATGCACAATGAATGTTTCAAGTGATTGATGTTTGATTAAAAACTCAAGAAAATAATTCTTTTCTGTCATATGACTTAATCTTTTGTTAGCTTTTTTTTTGCTCCTATCTTGTCTTTCAATTCATTCTCATATGGAAATACTCCAACTTAACTAACTGCTTTTTTTGTTGTATTACGAACATATATTTCGAAAACACAAGCATATATGAATGAAACAAATAATGATTCAATGCTGGTATATTCCTTTTCTTCGTTTACTTTTCTTTGTCGAAATTTTGTTAAGAATAGAAAGAAAATAGATACATCACATCATCATATAAAGCCGCTTTACATTACACATAATGACGCAATAGAAAAAAAATCGCTTGTGAAGGTTACTTTCAAGAGAAAAAAAAGGACGAAAAAAAAATATTATATTCATGTTTGTTTTTTTCTCTTTCATTCGTATTTATGTATGTTTAGTCGATACACATCCAACGTTTTCTTCGATAATAAGATGATATATTTTCAAAGGCATTGAGGAAAAGAGTATCATTCTTTCATTTCTTATTTGTAAGGTATTACGGGTATTTTAATCTATCATGAGTCAATCACTAACGACACATTCTACGAAAGTTAAACGATGGTATAAAGAATGAAAAGAAAGTGTTACATATATAAAAGATATATTAATATGGGTACTAGCACTACTAACCCAGAGCTTTCGACTTCGTTTTTCTGTTCTAAGTAGGTCTCACTTAGATTAAGTTAATTCTAATAAGCATTTCTGAGTGTGAGTATGAAGCAATGAAAACTTACTAACATCCACACTCTCTTATTAGTAAACAACGTTCTTATTGTCATTGAATTATTAAATTTATATTTATAAACGTAGATAAATAGATTCTTCATTTCTTCTGCTAACTTCTATTCAAAGCCGTGGCAATGGCAAACAAAAAAACACTATGTTTTACATGCAATAAAGAAAAAACAACACATTCTTGTAAAGGATGTTTAAAATATTTTTGTTTATTGGATTTAGTACAACATCGTCAAAAATTAAATGAAGAACTATGCTATGTTATTAATGATTATGATCAATTTAAACAAAGAATAGATGAACGAAAACAAGATCCACAAAAACATTCATTAATAAAACAAATTAACCTATGGGAAATAAAATCAATTGAAATAATTCAACAAAAAGCACAGGAATACAGAGAAATTCTCATGAAATCATCAGAAACATGTATTAATCAAATTGAAATGAAACTTAATAATTTAAATGAACAAATAAAACAATTTCAAAAAGAAAAGGAATTTAATGAAATTAATATAAATCATCTAAGTAATCAATTAATAGAAATTACAAAAGAATTTAATGACCCATCAAGTGTGTCTATTCAGCAAAATTCACGATCATTAATTAATGAAATTTCAATTATTTTATCAAAAAGTAAGTTTTTAAGAAATAATGTTAAACTACCTAAAACATTTTTCTTCAAAAATTCAAAAACAAGGTCTGATTGATAAAAAACAAAAACAAAGTTTCATTGAAAGCTAATCTTTTCTATTTCTTCGATTAAAAATAAGTTTTCTTCTTCTAATATTCATGAAAATGTTTTATTTTCATCGTTTTCTAGAACCGAAATTCAACAAATGGAAACAAAATGCTATCACTGTGGCTGGTGGAAATGGACTTGGACAAGAATTCAGTCAACTCAATTATCCTAAAGGAATCTTTATTGATGAAATGAAAAATATTTTCATAGTTGATTATTTCAATCATCGTATTGTTGAATGGGAATATAATGCAAGACAAGGACAAATCATTGCCGGTGAAAATGGGCAAGGAAATCGAATCGATCAATTGAATTATCCAACAGATGTGATTGTTGACCAACAAACTCATTCGATCATCATTGCTGATCAAGGAAATGGACGAGTAATTCAATGGTTGAATCAAAAGCAAAAAGTTCTCATTGAGAATATTGACTGTTTTGGTTTGGCAATAGATAAATATGGATTCCTTTATGCTTCTAATGGTGTGAAGAATGAAGTGAGACGATGGAAAATGGGAGAATACAGCAAAGAAATTGTAGTGGCAGGTGGGAATGGAAAAGGAAATAGACTCAATCAACTCAATCATCCTACTTATATCTTTGTTGATGAAGATCAGTGTGTTTATGTATCAGATCAAAATAATCATCGTGTGATAAAATGGGGAAAAGATGCAAAAGAAGGAAGAATTGTAGCTGGAGGAAATGGTCAAGGAAAAAATCTCAATCAGTTGTCTTTACCTCACGGAGTAATTGTTGATGATTTAGGTCAAATCTATGTGACAGATTCTCATAATCATCGAATAATGCGTTGGTGTGAGGGGAAAGAAGAAGGTGAAATTGTTGTTGGTGGAAATGGTAAAGGAAATCAATCAAATCAATTGAATCTTCCCAGTGGGTTATCATTTGATGATGAAGGAAATCTTTATGTTCCTGATTATTTGAATCATCGAATTCAAAAATTTGAAGTAATTCCGTGAATGAAATTTTTTGTTAAATAAAAAATGGAGAAATAAAATCAAAAGATAAAGCGAAGTTCTTTTGTTGAAAGTTCGGATAGATAAATATTAAATTCTTCAACTTTTGTTAATTTTTGTTGAATTTTATAAGCGAAAAGAAAAAAAATATTTTGTAATATGAATTGAATTAAAATAAAAATTATTTGAAAAGACGATTTTATTTTTGATAGAATTCTATTTGTATATTTTTATTTGATGACAATAATCAATTTTTTTTGTTTTTTTTTGATTTCATAAGATTTGTGAATCGTTCGAAACTTGAAGAAACAAGATATGTTTTATGAAAAATTTGTTAATAAAAATTGAATTGAAAAGTGATTTATCAAAATAAATATTTCAGAAGTTCTTGATTATATTTAATTCAACTTTTACAAATAAAATAAATTTAATTTTGTATTTCTTATAAAAAGTTTGTTTAAAAAAAAATGTCACATTAAAATTTTTATAGAATTTGTATGAAAATATTCATTTTAAACAATATGAAATTTTTTCAAACATATTTTATTATGCTTAATATGATGAGAAATAATTTTATTATGTATTTATACTGAAATATATAAAAATAACTTTTGAAATATTCCTTTATATATATAATACTTTCGTTTTTAACCTTACATGTGATTATATTTTGATTATTTCGAGATAATTTTTCTTTTTTAATTAAGTCATGATATTTATCAATGGTTTTTTGTTTTCTTGTAAAATTTATTCAAGATTTTTAGCTTCAATAAATAACAAAATGAAACTATCTCCATTTTATTCACGTTTGATTTTTTCAATGTTGTTTCGGTATGAACAACTAAAAATCTATTTGATCAAAAACAAAACGTGTTTTTTCTGGTTACTTTTCTTCACTTGAAATGTTTTGTTACATATTTTTTTCAAATCCAATATGTAACTGAAAATAAACATATGAAATATCAAATGTTGTTCTTTTACAAGATAGTTAGAAGAATTTAATCGATAAAAGAGAAATTCAAAGGAATGTTACAATCTTATCGAAGGTCGAAGAAAAAGATGATGCTTGAAAGCGTCTGCAAAAGTTCGCAACTTGAAGATAACACATTTCGATGTAAGTTAAAAGAGCAGAAGAAAAACGAATTATAATAATAAAAAAGAAAATTATCGATACGATCATATATGACAGGAAAGAGAAAATCTCGGCATGGTTATACATGGAAGAAAATACCATATGATCATATATGTAATTGATATAGCGAACGAATTTTTCATTTGTTCGCTTACAAGTAGTATAGACGGAATTCTCATTCATATCGAAATAATTACAAAATATCACAAGTTTAACAATTCAATTCTTTCAAATACTTTCATTTAGGTAAGTTAGTCTTGAATTAAAATGAATATGACGATACAGTTGGATGCATAAGAGATTAATATATCATCTATTTCGAGGGTAACGATCTGTCTTTAATTTTTATCCACATCCGAATCAGCATCAAAACATTCTTTCATTGAAAAAAAATCACTAGAATTGTTGCACGAAAAAGTTCTTTTTAGATTTATTTTACTACTGAACAATATTTTTATTATCATTGAGTGATTAAATTTATATCTAGAAATTTATACTCAAAGATATGGCAATGATAAACAATAAAACACAATGTTTTAATTGCAAGAAAGAAAAAATAACATATCCTTGTGACGGATGTTCACAAAGATTTTGTTTTATGGATTTATCAGAACATAAACAAATATTAAATGATGAATTAAATCATATAACTAATGAGTATACTGTATTCAAACAGAGAATTAATGAACAAAAACAAGATTCACAAAAACATTCATTAATAGAACAAATTAATCAATGGGAAAAACAATCAATTGAAATAATTCAACAAAAAGCACAACAATGTAGAGAAATGGTCATCGAATCTACAAAAACATGTATTAATGATATTGAAAAGAAATATAATGATTTATCTGAACAAATAAAACAAATTCATGAAGAAAATGAATTTAACGAAATGAATTTAAATTATTTAAAAATTCAATTAATAGAAATTACAGAAGAATTCAATAATCCAGTAAAAATTTCTATTGAACAAGATTCACAATCATTTATTAATGAAATTTCAATTATTTTATCAAAAAGTAAGATTTAAAAAAAATATTTGAAAGAAAAACTCTTATTTTCTATGATATTGTGTTAAAAAAGAATGATAAGATATGAAATAATATTGAAGAAAGATTTTATTCGATTTAAAATATTTTTCTAAATATTCATATCAAAATTGTAAATTAAAATAAATAATAAAATCAAATAGATTGTCACCTTTATATATAAAATAGAATAGTAAAAACAAAATCAAACATTAATCTTTTATTTTTTCGTTCGATAGAAAACAACTCGTCTTCTTTTTCTTATTCTCTTCATTAAAATCTTCTGTTTCATTATTCTCTAGAACCAACATTCAACAAATGGAAACAAAATGCTATCACTGTGGCTGGTGGAAATGAAAAAGGACAACAATTAAATCAACTCATGGGCCCTCATGGAATCTTTATTGACGAAAAGAAAAATATTTTCATTGCTGATTGTTCAAATCATCGTATAGTTGAATGGGAATGTAATGCAAAGATAGGACAAATCATTGCAGGTGGAAATAACAAAGGAAATCGAATAGATCAATTGAATCTACCAACAGATGTGATTGTTGATCAACAAAATCATTCAATTATCATTGCTGATCAAGGGAACAGACGAGTAATTCAATGGTTGAATCAAAAGCAACAAATTCTCATCCACAATATTGACTGTTCTCGCTTAGCAATGGATAAAAATGGATTTCTTTATGTTTCTCATCGTGAGAGGAATGAAGTGAGACGATGGAAAATGGGAGAATATAACAACGAAGGAATTATAGTGGCAGGTGGAAATGGCAAAGGAAATGAACTCAGTCAATTCAATTCTCCTAGTTTTCTTTTTGTTGATAAAGACCAATCTGTTTATGTATCCGATATATTCAACCATCGTGTAATGAAATGGACGAAAGATGCAGAAGAAGGAAAAATCGTGGCTGGAGGAAATGGTGAAGGAGGAAATCTCAATCAATTGTCTAAACCGGAAGGAGTAATTGTTGATGATCTGGGTCAAATTTATGTAGCTGATTTTGGAAATCATCGAGTAATGCGTTGGTATGAAGGAAAAGAGCAAGGTGAAATTGTTGTTGGTGGAAATGGTGGAGGAAATCAATCAAATCAACTCAATAGTCCCGGTGGTTTATGTTTTGATGGTGAAGGGAATCTTTATGTTGGTGATCATTATAATCATCGAATTCAAAAATTTGTAATAGTTTTGTGAATAAAATTCTGATTTTGAAAAAACGAAAAGAGTTTTTGTTAAATAAATAACCGAGAAACAAAAGAAAAGAAAATAATAAAGAAAAATCTTTTTTTTAGGATGTAGGCGTGGGTAAATAGAACATTAATCCACCCCCTTCTTTTACTTCTGATTTAACTTTATCATCTAAACCTCTATCGT